GAACTTGTTCTGTTACTTAGACTTCATCTTGTCTGCCTCCCCACCTGTTGCCTTCAACCATAGGGGCTTGCTTTCACCCCTCTAACTTGCCATGCTTCTTCCTGATTCAGGGCCCCTGTACTATTTCTTCTGTTTGGAACATTCTTCTTCTGTTTGCATAGATGCCTCTTTTTAATCACTTAAGTCTCCATTTAAAAATTATCTTCTATGGAAAATCATCCTTGATGACTCTAATGTAAAGCATTTCTTTTCTTTTTTCTAGTCACTCTAGTACTCTAGTTTATCCTCTTCAGAGCACACGTCAGCACTTGAGATGATCTCCTTTATGCATTTGTTTCCATGTGGAATGTTTGTCTCCTGCTTGTTGGTGGTAGAAATCTGGTCTTTCTTGTTCACTGTTGCATCCCTGGTACTTTACACCAATGAGTGACCAGCCAGTAGTCAATCAACCAACTGACTTAAGATTGTGGGAAGGAATACCTGAAATCCTTGAAAGTTACCCAAGAAAAAATTAAGTAGGACCACCAAATTTCTTTTTTCCCTGTTAAGATTTGCTTATTCAAATTATTCTCAAAAGACAGATTTAATTTACTACCAGCCACTTTAGAATGGAGGGCAGACACTCCCCAATACCAAAAGACAAAAAAGATGGTAAAAACCAGCATACCAAAAATACCACATTGCTAACAAGAAAAGGATGAAAGGGACCAAAATAATTATTTTGTTTATTTCATCCAAAATTCTCCCAAAAAACCAACTTCGAGGTTCTCCATTTTTTACTGTGGAAATCACAAGGAAGGCAGAAGGAGGGCAAGCTTTTATCATTTGTGTGCTAGATCTCCGTGCTGTACCAAAGGTCACTGATTTTACACCCTGGTGTTAGATCAGATGCTGAGCATATTTCTCAAATGGTCGCGTTTTTATGGATAGTACAGTGCTGTGGTGGTATATTGAGTGCTTACGCAAGTTTTATATCTAGATTGCTATTTATCATGAGTAACTACATTAACTCATTTTATTACCTGAGCTCTGAGGACCTGAAAAACTGTGTGTTTTTATGTTGCACGTGGCTGGGAGACCTACCTGTGTCCCTGACAAGCTGTGCTAGGCATTAACAAAGGATCTTGGATTTTCAGGGTCTCCTTTTTTCCATCTACAAAAGGAGAAAACTTGTGGAAGGATATATGTTTTTCTTTAATGAAATACTTTAGGATCATAGTATGAGACCTTGGGGTTATCGTGGAAAGAGATCAGACTTTAAACACCTAAACTTGGCAGATATTTGTGTGTATCAGACCCCTAAGACATTAAATATGATAATGTGGGCTAGGCACAGTGGCTCAGGCCTGTAATCCCAGCACTTTGAGAGTCCAAGGTGGGTGGATCACCTTGAGGTCAGGAGTTTGAGACCAGCCCAGCCAACACGGTGAAACCCCAGTCCCTACTAAAAATACAAAATTAGCCAGGCATGGTGGCATGCGCCTGTAATCCCAGCTACTTGGGAGGCCGAGGCAGGAGAATCGCTTGAGCTCAGGAGGCAGAGGTTGCAGTGAGCCGAGATCGTGCTACTGCACTCAGCCTGGGCAACCGAGTGAAACTCCATCTCAAAAAAGATGGGTGGTGGTGTTCACATTATGTGGTTCCAAGCAAGGTTTTGTTTGTAAAATGGTTTGAACCCAGGCCATTCAATTGCATAATTTCTGGTTGCTCCTAGCCCTGGCCCCTTCTAACTATGTGTCCGCATCCCTTGCAAGCTGCATTCAGAGTAGCAGGAAAATGGGTGATCAGGCTGGGAACAGGAGAAGCAGGGAGTGGCTGGGATTGTGGCAAACTGGAAACTGCATGTTCTCCCTAAAAGGGAGAAAAAGCACTGCAGAACTAGCCAATTGCGGAGGGCAGGTTTGCAGCAAGAATAATGCCAGATCCCCTAGGTTTTTCAAGGCAAACGGAAAAATCTGTATACCTGCATGGTGTTTTCTGATCTTAAAATATTGGCAAGTAATTCAAACAATGTTGACCTCCTGAGGTTCAAACAATACAATCTAATATGTAACATTTAACAGGCCCAGAGACAGTCAGTCTGCAGCTTCCACAATCTAGAGTTCAGATAAAGTCACAAACTTCAGCTTTTGCTCTGCATACTAGTTGTGTGTGTGTGTGTGTGTGTATGTGTGTGTGTGTGTGTGTATGTATGTGTGTGTGTGTTCACATTCCTGAATGTAATCCTACTGGCGAAGTGCACTTTTTGGGGCCAGAATTTGTCACAGGACAAATCTATGGATTGGATGCACCTGGGGTTAGGTGCCCACCTTTAGTCTTCAAGGTAGCTGGCTAAGGGTTAGTTACTCTTTCAACAGAATCCTTGATTGGACTAACTTCCATTCCAGAGGCTGTGGACATAGCAAGCTGTGTATGTATCTAATAAAGACCTAGAATTTTCTCCTCATAAATTAATGTTTAAATAGAATGCTCAACACTGGTTTCTCCTATGAAGATTATGTTTCTTAATAAGAAAAGGCAATGTCTCATTGACATTTAGGTAGAAAATTGGTTAGAATTTGGGTAGTGACAAGCATCATATATTGCCGTTAATGTTCCTTAGGGAGAAGCTCCGATTTACGTGGAAATATTGACTACTGCTTATCTTAAGAAAATTCTGTCTTGGCATGGTGGCTGTAATCCCAGTGCTTTGGGAGGCCATGGCGAAGGATCAGTTGAGCCCAGAAGTTTGTGGTTATGGTGAGCTGTGATTAAGGCACTGCAGTCTAGCCTGGGTGAGAGAGCAAGACACTGTTTCAAAAAGAAAGAGAGAGAGAGAGAGAGAGAGAGAGAAAAAAAAAGAAAAAAAATCTGCTTACAAAATGAAAAACTCTTAGGGCTAGAAAAGACTTTAACCTCTTTAAGCTTCCCTTTCAGTCCTTCAATACTTTTTTATGGCATCCTCCTATGTTTTATGCATATTTCCCTTTACCAGGAAGTACACTTCTTCCAGAGGAACCTCTTTTATCTTTGGATAGGCCTCATGATTAACTTTTTTTCTTATTGCACAATGCCCTGCCCAACATAGGCAATCAGTACAGCATTTTCTAAATGAGTTTATTTCTATGGCATTTGCTGAGTTCATACTACGTGCCAGACACTATTTTAGGAACTTGGGCAATATTGGTGAATTTAAAAAATTGGATTTGTTTAATTAAAGCAATCCCTTGTAGAGCTGATGTCCCACCCTGAAAGTAGGAGGTGGTGGTAAGAGAGAGATAATAATTTTTTTTTTCTTAACGTAAACCATACAATATGTTACAAGGTGATAGATGCTATATATATTTTTTAAAAAAGAGCAGAGTTGGGACTCCATGTATGAATCCCCTTCCACGAACACTCCCTTCATGGAAGCTGTTTTTCTCTATCATGGATTTTCCCTCTGGAGTTCCCTTCCACACTCTCTCGTGGAAGCCTGTCTTCCCCTCTAAACTCCATCTCTCTCTCTCTATTCCCTTCCACTCAGTGTGGAAGCTGCTTTCCTCTCCTGGATTCCATGTTTCTGGATTCACTCATTCCGTGTGAGAGTTAGCTGTCTTTCTCTCTCCTTCTCCTGTTTCTCTCTCCCTTTAAAATATATTAAAAAAATAAAATAAAATAAAAAAACAGAGTTGAATGAGGGAGACTGGGAGGGGTGAGTTACAACTTTAAGTGGAATAGGGTAGGACTCATTGAAATAAGGCTTGAAGGAGATGAGAGAGTTAGCAATGTAGAATGGATGTTATCAAACTAATCTCTCTGCAGCCGGGTAGAACTAGCTCCCTTTCCACTCCCCAGGCTCTAGGGATAATGATAGGAATAATAATAGCTCAATATCCTTTGAATCCCAGCAGGGATTCTAAGCATTTTCTCTGCATGAATTCATTAAATCCTCATAGCCACCCTAAGACATAGCTACTATTTTAATCCCCATTTTCATATTAGTAAACTGAGGCACAGCAAAGTTAAGTAACGTGGCTAACAACCAGAGGATGGGGAGAAGAGGAACTGCTGCATAGACCTTGCCATTTTGGCTCCAGGATTTGGCTCTTAATCCCTCAGGCCTGCCTCTTTTAAGCCTCCTCCCTGCTCCTTGTCCTGTCAGTTTCTGGCCAGGCACGGTGGCTTATGCCTGTAATCCCAGCTCCCTGGGAGGCCGAGGCAGGTGGATCACTTGAAGTCAGGAGTTCTAGACCAGTCTGGCCAACATGGTGAAACCCTGTCTCTACTAAAAATACAAAAATTAGCCAGGCATGCCTGTAATCACGGCTACTCAGGAGGCTAGGCTGAAGCATGAGAACTGCTTGAACCCCAGGAGGTGGAGTTTGCAGGGAGCTGAGATCATGCCACTGCACTCTAGCCTGGGTGACTGAGGGGAAGCTGTCTTTAAAAATAATTAAAAAAAAGATTTTGTTTCCCAAGCATATATCCCATGCCCAGTCTCTTTCATTGTGTGTGATTCCTGGGATGAAATTTAAAGCCCTTCATCATTCCAGGGCTTCTGTTGAGAATGTTTTAGCTTTACCTAATATCACAGGAGAAATGAGATGCCCAGAACTTCCTCAACCCGCTCTCATCCCCACAGCAACCCTAACACATAGGTTTATGTGTTGGTTAAATGACCAAATCAAAAAATGAAAATGAATCATGCTCAGTGTTGAGATAAAAGGACACACACATCTTTTTCTTCAGCAAATGTCACTGTGGTTTCAAAGCCTACAAGTGATGTGTGATCGGGCAGCATTTTTAAAGTATTTCCTGCTCAACCATAGGGTGAAATGATGCAAGTCAGTGAGTCCTGCAAACAGCTGCACTAAATTCTTAACACCTGCAAAAAAAAAAAAAAAAAACCCAAACAGTTTTGCAAATAATTATACATTATTTTTAATTTTTGGATTGTTGGTTTTCTGTGGTTTCAAACTCTGAAGGACCCTCCTCCAGTTCATTAAACCTGCAGTTAGAAAGTGAGTTTGGGAGCTTTAAAAGAATTTTGCAAACCTAAGGGAAAGATTTCACTTGCATTGTATTTTCATTAATGCGCTTAAAACAACTTTTGAAATTGGCCTAGGGACTATACGTAAAAAAAAAAAAAAGTTCCAGGCCCCAGTCCTCTATTCAGCTCCGCCCTGCTCCTTTTAAGTGAGCTCAGAGTCACCCCTAGGCTTGGCAGTTTCCCGCTGCGGGGCCGCGGGGCCAGGGGGCTGCAGATCTCCCCTTGTGTGAGAGAAACGCAAGCACGGAGCTCCCTTGCCCTGCTGCATCCTCCTTGGAATTTTTTTTTTTTAAGTCAAAAAGCTTGGATTTCCTGAGATTGTTGAACTAGATGAAATTGTTGAACTAGATGTAAGTGCTGGTTCCCCCTCTCCGCTCTCCCCAGCAGGCTAAGAGTTGCTGAAGGGAAGGAGAAGTGGGATGGGGTGAAGTGAGATGGGGGTCGTTGGAGAGAAACTAAAGCGAGGTGCCCGCGACAGGAAAAGTGGGAGGAGGAGGAGGGGAGGAGAAGGAGGAGGAGGAGGAGGCCGTAAAATGAGAGAGGGGGAAACGTGTCACCAGTCCGGCTCTGGGAGCTCCGCAGCCGAAGCGTTTGCTGACGCGCTGGAGAGGAACTGAGGCTAGGCGGGACGGGACCTCATCAGAGGGCAGAGCTGTGGGAGGAGGGAGGAAGGGAAGGAGAGCTGGGCAGACGGCAAGAACCGTCCACCAGGTCACTCCTTTCTCTCCGGTGAGAAAACTTCCTCGGGAAGACCGGAAACTTTTTCCTAGGCGCGGGAAGTCTGGGGCGGAGGCGAGCGGCGAGTGTGCGCGGCTTGGGGTGATGCACGCAGGGGATCCCAAGGAGGTGAGTGGTGGGTGGGGGGCGTCTCTGGGAGGGGCCGGAGTCCTAGGCTCAGCAACCGCGCAGAATTGAGCAAAAAATTACCGCGCACAGTCTGACCGGGCGCGGCGTGGCAGAGGTCGAGGGGAGGAGCTGGGGAAAAGTGTCACATTTGGGGGGCAACCAGGTGGGAACCCCCTGCATGGTTAGGAATCCTCCGATCGGACTCTGCAGGCAGGCGTAGGGGATCCTACTCGCGACCACCATGGTCGGGCAGTGGACAGGCCACGCTCCCTGTCGCTGTTAAGCGTGGTTGAGGTACCGCCGTGGGGTATAATGGGGATGCTGGTGATCGGGGGACCACGGCTGAGCCAGGACGTCGAAAAAGAAAGTCTGCTTGTTTGACTCTCTCGTTCTCCCTCGGTCTGGGGGGCAAATCTAAAAAGCTGACCCCGCTCACGCGCGGGCGACTCCGCGACTGCAAGCAGCCTTTTCCCTGCCGTCCCCCTTCTTCTGGAGTGGGGCGTGGGAGAGGAGGGAAGGGAGCCACTTTGTCCCGTGCGCCGCTGCATGCGCGCGCTCTGCGGACTGGGGCAGGCCAGGGCCCAGCCCGCCGGGAACCCGCGGGGACCGACTGCGAGCAAGCTCTGGGGCGGCCCCGCTGCGGGCCACGCGCTGGGAGCCCGCAGTATCCCCTTTCCGCTTTGTTTCTCCCGCCCGCCCTCCTTTTGGCGAGGCTTTCCTCAGCGGGTCTACTGTGCGCGCGCGCCGGGCTTGCTGCACGCAGGGGGCGCTCTGGGGCCCCTGCCCGGGCAGCTCGGACCCTGCCTGCCCAGCCCTCCTGCCCGTTTTCCTGGGGGCTGCCTCCTGCGGTCGGACCGGCCTGTGTGCTTGCTAACTGTGCAGGAATCAGCTCTGGGATGCCTCCCTGGCTGGCAATAGGGGTTTCCTCCAGTTCTAGCCAGACCCTGCCCTCGGTCACATGCCGCCGCCGCCTCTTCCCCCGCGGTGCCGGGAGCCCGCGTTTTGTTTGTCAGCAGTTAGGCGCTGAGTATTTATAGACGCCACCGCAGTCCTGCGGTGTGCAAGGTTTCAATTACTGCGATGCGCCCCACAAGACGAAAGGCTCACGCGCTACCGCTGAGCTGCACGTCTGCCCCGGAGACCCGCGAGGAAAAAGCTCTGGGCCGCAGTCTCAGGGCTTCCCTGCTTGGGCAGAGTTCTGAACCTGTTGCCCAGACGACACGTGCACATTCAGATGACCCACGCTAAGGACCAAAGGGACGCCACTGGCCCAGTGGACTACCTTCATCCCCTGCCGTCCCCAAGGGATCCTCGCTGATCAAGCCCGGGAGACTACCCTTTTTTACCTCTCTTTGGGTGATCCTGACCACCACCGTAGGTTTGCAGACATGACATTTCATCGCCCTACATACTGCAAAATGTTACAGTGCTGAGCCCTGGTAAATTGCTCAGAGGTGGAAAGCGCTGTTACTGACAACACGAAGCAGCTAGCGGGTCTGGAGGGGAAATGGAGTTTGCAGAAACTAATTTAGCCACATTTAAAATATAGCCCCTGGTAAGGTTCCCAGTACGACTGAGGAAGATACAAGGCTCCTGTCTGTGGAACCTGGCTGGTTGGTCTTCTCTGGTTGCAGCCCTAGAATCTGGATCAAGGGTGCTGTTTAGAGCGGTTTCTGTAGAATGTAGCCTTGCAGATAAGGGAAGTGATGCTTGGTCAATCCACAAAGTTGTCTTCAGTTTTTCCAACTCCAGCCACTGTTCTCTGAATATGTTATTGATGCTTCTAACAACTGGAAACTTTAATATGAAAAAGAAGAAAGGCACTAGAAATAAGAAAGCCTATTTCTCAAAGTTTACACTAGCTTGTTTCTCAAGGGTGGAACCTCATTTCTTTCACACTGATTATCTGAAAATCTCTTGCTGACAGTCCAGACCTAAATCATAATCCTCACTTTGCTCATTGTCTTAAGGTGCCTTCATCATTAAAGCCATTTATCTGTAGAAAATCGAATTCAGTAAGGTCTTCGTGGATTATTTATTTATTTATTTTTCAGATTTCTCCACACTAATGATCTGTAGGTATGCATGTATCTGTTTTCTTGTGACTATTCCTCTCGTACAAGGTAAAATATGCCAAAATCTCTCTTAGATTGCAGCCATTTTTCCTTTTCGTTCTTTCTGCAGAGCTAGACCTAATACAAAATTGATTTGAAAAATGGTGTGTGAGTTCCTCTGAAAGATCCCTACAATGTCTAACATTCATCATTAAAAGTTTGTTCTCTAGAGTTACCTCTCTGTATGTAAAATGTAAATACGTGTTAAAGGTAATGCTTGTAGAAATGATCATTTGTTAACAAGTCATCGTGAATTAATATTTTAGTTGCTGAAATACAGGAATGAAATATTTTATGGATTTTGTACAGAATACGGGGCTTGGAATTGGGGAACAAAGAGAGTGGTACCCTGATAAGCAGAAGGCGCTGTTTTACAAGGGAAGATCTCACATGGAGCCAAGGAGGAGGACGGATGATAGTGTTGAGGCATCAGAAGTGAACTTCAGTTAATTCCCATTTTTGTCAGTACTGGGGGATCCAAGGTCTACTTTGAAACTTGTACAGTTAAAACAAATGAGCTGAGTTATTTATTGGTCAACTTCTGTGAGCCAGGTATAGCTATGGTAATGGTAGGTATAGCTATGGAAATGGCACAAATATGTGCCTGCCAACAACCCAGACAGGTAGGGATTATTTTCTCTATTTTCAGATGCGAAAACAGAGGCTCAGAGAGACTTGTTACTTTCCCAGTGTCACATAGCCATGAACCCAAGTGTCTTGCTCTTTTCAGTACATTTTTTTTTTTTTTTAAGACGGAGTTTCCTTCTTGCTGCCCAGGGTGGAGTGCAATGGTGAGATCTGGCTCACCGCAAACTCCACCTCCCGGGTTCAAGCAATTCTCCTGCCTAGTGACTCTCTGGAGTCGCTAGGATTACAGGCATGCGCCACTACGCTCTGCTAAATTTGTAGAGACAGAGTTTTTCCACGTTGGTCAGGCTGGTCTCGAACTACCAACCTCAGGTGATCTGCCCGCCTCGGTCTCCCAAAGTACTGGGATTACAGGCATGAGCCACCATGCCTGGCTAGTGCATTTTGATATCTACCCTTGAAGGCCTTCCATGGAGAACCCAGGGTCCCAAGTTCTCAAGAAAATCCTAGTGGTTCACATGGAAGTTTCTGGATCAGAAGTCAAGGCCGGAGCTGTTCAGGGACTCTAAAATGAGGGGACAGAAGGTGTGCAAACAATGGAGCCTGAAGGGATAGTCTGGATAATTCTGACAACAGTGATGCCTCAGAAGAAGGAAAGCAAGGCCCTGTAGATATTGTGAATATAGAGAATTACCAACATTGACCCGGGCGAGGATGGCTGTCACACTGCAGAACATACCAGACGAAGTTCCCAGAGGGGAGGAGTGAGGAAGTGTCTTCACCTCCCTCCTGTTGCCTTCTGCTGCCCGGTGTTGGCTTTATAGTCAATATAAATTAGGGAGCCTGTAGGACCTGTTTCCATTTTAATTAGACTTGGCCCTTTCAGGTACCAGTCACCCAGTCTCCCTCTTTAAACGTTCTTTTTTTATGCTTTGCCAGTTTATGGCCTTTGTAGATCAATCGTTGGATTTCATGTACGGGAGAGAGAAAGAGAGAAAAAAGCAAAGGTTAGTGATTACCTAAATTGGATTAAGTTCTGTCTAGCAGCGTTTAAAGAAATGCTGCTTGTTCCCTAATTACCATCAACTAAGAATTTAAACGGTCTATTAAATTTAAGCCGACTTTTTTTTAATTCCCTGAAATTTCCAGCTGTAACATATTCTGAGACTTTAGAGGCTTTTATATATTGAGCAAATGTGTAGGGAACATTCTCTGCTTTCTCCCCCTTTTAAAAAATATTGCGGCCGGGCGCAGTGGCTCAAGCCTGTAATCCCAGCACTTTGGGAGGCCGAGGCGGGTGGATCACGAGGTCAAGAGATCGAGACCATCCTGGTCAACACGGTGAAACCCCGTCTCTACTAAGAATACAAAAAATTAGCTGGGCATGGTGGTGCGTGCCTGTAATTCCAGCTACTCAGGGGGCTGAGGCAGGAGAATTGCCTGAACCCAGGAGGCGGAGGTTGCGGTGAGCCGAGATCGCGCCATTGCACTACAGCCTGGGTAACAAGAGTGAAACTCCATCCCCAAAAAAAAAAATATTGCATTTCTGGAGCAGGATAATAAATGGCATCACTATATTTTAACTTCATTATAAAACAGAAGCTCACAGCTAGGCTCAGCTAGAAGGGTTTTGGGAGAGCAATAGAAGCCTGTCTGACCGTGGTGGCCTATGGGAAGACCTGACGGACATCTACCCCTTCCAAACAACCTGTCATTATTATTTGTTCTATTTATTTAACATAGAATTATATGTTACATAGAATTATCTATTTACTCACATATTAAACCCACAAGGCTTTCATTCTTCTTTTTCTCTCCTCAATTTTGAGGTGCAAATTTATTTCCCTCACCCACACATCAATATTCTGGTTTCACTTTAGCTGGTTGCCAAATGCCAGAACGCTTCCACTTTCCCGTTCTCTCCTTACTTTACCTATTACAGGACTTTGTCCAGCTTTGCTGGTTCTTTTTGACACAGGCTGCATCCCGCGTTTTGTTGATGGCATCTTTGACGGTAGTTGGGTTTGCAGCAAATACTAGGATTAAGTAATGGACTGCATTGGACTTCTACAGCTGTTTAGGAACTGGAGTATGTGTTAGCTTAAGTTGAGCCTGGAAGAATAGCTGAAAGGATTTGTTTTTGCCTTCTTCCCAAGGATGTGGGACAGGGTAGGGGGCAGGTGGGGAGGGCGTGAAAATCTACCATTGGCTCTGATGTGTGTCTGTATCAGACTGAACTAAGCTGCCTGAAACTGTCACAACCTGCTTGTGACCTCAGCCACGTAAATCCTTGCTGTAAACCCTTTTATGCTTGCCATTCATCATCATTCCCCAGATGTCTTTGGGGAAATCACATCGACTGCCGCCGTCATTCTGGAGAACTCTGTTTCATCATGCTTGCTGCTGGACACCACCACTATGGGAGCAGTGTGGCTACTTTACTTGTAAAACATCTCACAGGCTGAATTAGTGGGTAAACATTACTCTTTTGTAGTGTTTGAGATAATTTTTTTAAAATTATTCACCAACGGAACAAGAGATTCCTTTCAGGCCTCAGAAAAGCTCCCCACTAAGCTTGGTATCAACTGTTCAGAGAGGCAGGGTTGTTGAATGAGCCCCCATTTTGGTCCTAACGGGCATCATGGAGATAATTCAGGTTGAGGAATTGAGATCTGGAACCTGATCTCAGCTCTGCCATGAGCAAGCTGTATTACCATGGCTAGTTGCTCAGTTACTTTGGGCCTCAGTTTCCCTATTTACAAAGTAATGACATTGGCTTACTAGTGAGGTTCCATTCTGTTCTAAAATTCCTTGATGGCCAAGGAAGCATGGTCTAGAGCCGTGCTTCTGAAAGTGCACGTGTATCACCTGGAGTTCCTGTTAAACCACAGAATCTGATTCAGTAGGTCTGAGCTGGGGCCAGAATGTCTAAGAAACTCCCAGACAATGTTGATTCTGTTGATTCCCAGATCACAGTGTGAGTAGCAGGGCATTAGAGCCTAGGTTGTGAGGGCTCTCCTGTGCATAGTAGGATTTTTGGCAGCATGCTTGGCCTCTACCCACTAGATGCCCCTAACACTCTTTCATTCCATAGTTATGACTATCAGAAAGTGTCTCCAGGCAGGGGGACAAAATCGCCCCTGGTTGAGGATACTGGTCTAGACCAGTGTTATCAAACCTCGTTGTACATCAGAATCACTTGGAAGATATCTGGAAAGTACAGATTTGGGTATGTTGGGCCCAGTGAATGAAAATAACCAGGGGAGGGCCCAGGAAGCTATATTCTTTAAAAATAAGGTGATAGATGGCTTGGAATTCTTCACTTTGACAGTCTGAAAAAGTACAAGATCTACACTTGAGTTCTGGTGTTATCGCTCCATAGGCGTGGGACCACACAGGCAAGTTGCTTAAATGTTCTGAACTAGAAACTCTCCACTTCTAAAATAGGAATAGCAATAGTGTCTACCTCCTAGAATTGTTGGGGGTCAAATGGGATAACATGAGGAAGACCTTTGGCAACCATAAAGTGCTATGCAGATGTTAGTGGCAAGTGTCCTACCACAGGCCTCTGGAGTTTAATTTTCTTCATTCAATTGCTTTATTTATTTTTCCCAGGGCTGAATTTCTTTTTCTTGAGGCTGAGCTTTACAACCATCACAATATCTCTTTTCATCGTCCCTTTGGCCCTCACAGTCACCAGCTGTGTACATTTGTCTCCACTCAGTCCCATGCGAGGGTCTCAAACTGGCAGCCCATGGGCCAAACTTTGGCATCAGACATGTACTGTTTGGCTTGCACTGTATTTTGGGGAAAAGAAGAAAATAAGATGATTTTTTCCAGTGTTTAAAAGTTGGGAGGGTTGACATCTGAACACAGGTTTTCGGCTTTTCTGTAATAAACCAAAGGAAGTCCGAGGACAGTCTTTAGTTTGCCACATCCCCCACCTGGCCCTCTAATCTTTGTCATGGATTCTGCTTTGGCCTACTGTAAGCATTGTGTCCCATCCCAGGGTCAGGCCTTCCTGTCCTTTACTTTAATCAGCACCAATCGCTATTCCCTTTTATTATTATATTACTGTAGGAGTCATATCTAGCTCATCTTTGTGGCAAGTGTAGAAGGTACTCCCTAGATATTTGTTGAAATGTGATATTTTCATCCTATACCTGGTCTCTCATGGATAAGACCTTGGAAACACCTTGAACGTTTAAAGTTCTTACCTATGAAAGCTTGTTTTTCCTTCTCAAAATTTCCTTCCCAGTCTCCAGGCCCCATATTCTTTAGAGTTATGGGCAAGGAAATGGAGAACCTGGAGTTTTCGGCTGACCTTTCATTGGCTTTGCTTTGTAACTCCAGAATGTGAGTTCACTTCTGCCTCAATCTTGTCTCAATTGTCCATCATCAATTACAGCCCTTGGTGTCTG